CATGAAAATATAATAATTATTGAAACAAAGAAATCGATATTTTTCTTCGCAATCGCATCAAAACTGATGCATAAAATAATCTTTCCTAAACTTTGTTTCACGAAAGCGTGAACGAAAATACGAGGGAAACGATCGACCGTTTCGTCGCATAATGGCCGCTATTTTCGCTTTTAGAAACGTGGCCTATACGTGGCCGTGTTCCACCGTAGGGACACCAGCCGGACGACATTGTAGCGACTTGCGACATGCGCCGCAATTATCCGCTCGCCGTCTCATTTGCGATTGTAATTAAGATCAGCCGCGGCTGTGGACGCGGGCGCATTCGAGCGTGCACCGATCGGGACCAGATTGCGCCGTGTTGGGCGCGAGCCGCTCTTTCGTTGCGGCGCTAACGCGACTAACTGCTTCTCGCTTCGATCTCTCTCTCTCTCTCTCTCTCTCTCTCTCTTCTCTTTCCCTTTCTCCCTTTTTCTCCAGCGTATAGACGGATCGAGACGAGACGGAAGATAAAATTTTCATTTCGACTCGGAAAGAATCGTGATTAATCGCGGATTCGAATGGCTACGAAAAGGAAATGCGAAAATAGTAATGCGGTGCCTATCGCTATCCATCTTGTAATTACAGGTTGCACGCCGGTGTGCACACATAGAAAATTATTCGCCCGCTCGATTTTGCTCCAAGTTGAAATAAAGTTGAAAATCGTCGAGAGAGAACGAGAGTCTAAAGGAAAACGATTCTGATTATTATTACCGAGAGATGTAATTAATTCTGTCGAACTAGTTCTCTCGGTTTCCGGTTTTCTTTTTTTTTTTTTTTCTTTTTATTCCCGTAGAATTCCGATCGAAATAGTAGGGGAGGGATCGAAAAGGAATCCGTAAAGCCTGCGTGATACGCGTAGGAGGACGCGGTGTGGCTCGGGCAATTACAGAAGGACTGGTTATTACTCGTGCAAGAGCGCGAGTTATTATAAATACAAGCGTTAACGTTCGTGCGTCGGTGAGGCCGGGCGAGTTGCGTTATATCAGGAAATACCGTGTTGCAAGAAAATCTGTCCTACCGGTACCGTTAGAACTAGTTTTTAACGAACCTCCATCTAACTGGCCACGACTTTTCCGCTGAAACGATCGCCGCAGGTCCGTTCTTACGGCGACGTTTAATAAATTTCGGGCCGGCTGTCGATACCAGGCGGCGTGTACATTAAGTAACAGTTCTCCTCGTTTGTTGTTTTATCTTTCGATTAACATTCTTCTCCCTTTTTCCATCGACACGGCTCACGGCCTACGTGATTCCGAGCAATTACTCTCACCGCGGCGAGAAAAACGAGCGAACCACGAGAGGAATAATGCCGATAATGCGACGTTTCATAGTCGCACAGAACAAATGTTAATACAAAAATGTTTTTTTTTCCATTATTCGAATTTCGTTTCATTTTCTTTTTTTTTTCTTTCGATATTCAAGATTGCGCGGTCACGTGCACGCGCAGACGATTCAAATTGAATCCCCAGGTCATCGAAAAAATACGATTTTCTCCTCGCACAACCCTCCATCTTTCTCTCTTTCAAACGTTTTCAAACTCTAGGAACCGAAGCGCAAACTTCTTCCCGATAATCTGCCTGCGGAGGTGATGGGTCACGTATCTGCCTCGTTGCGTGACTCCAACCCCCCTCCACACCCTCATTCATCTCGAAAAGGATACATAATGTACGTACGAGTCTTTCTCGATCGCTGAAAGGGAGTGGATCGTTTCGGGCATTGAGGATTCGTAACAAATCTCGACACGCGCGGCGAATAAGGATCCAAGATGCACCTTGACGTACGAGGGTGATGTGGTTCACGCCTCGGTAACCACATGTTGCAACTTTGCAACGCCATTGTTCCTCTTCTCTCTCTCTCTTCGTTGCACCTTTGATTTCCAGAGACCAAAACTTCCATTTCCTTCTCTCTCCGCTCTCCTCGTTCGAGGACACTTCGAGCATTTCGAGGCGAGTAATTATAGACACAAGCGAGGATACATGCGACGTTTAGCAGGGACGGGTGACCGATCTCTCATTACCCTCGCAATCAACGTAATCAGTCGAATGTGTGTATGATTGCATCGACTGGGTCGAGACAGTGGAGGTTACGTTTCGAAGTTTCTTTATTTTTCGAGAGGAGAGAAACGTAGGCTGATGAGTTGATACGATTTATCGATGGACTCGACGACTGGCGTGGGTGTTCAAACGACTTCACCTGCGTAGACTTTCCTTGTTTCTATCTTTCGAAATCGAGCAAGAACACGAGCAAGGAAAATGCAAATTGCAATTTAATCGAGGCAATTAGCTCTAATATCCCAGCAATGGAGAAGGAAGGATTTTAATTTCGTTGAAAAATTTCCTACAGCGAGAAGTGACGGAACACGAGCGACGTTTAATCCTGAGTAGCACGTTTGGTAAGTCGGCGAGGTAACGCTCGGCCCCGCCACGATATCGCGGGGGGATTAAGCCGCGGCCCATCATCCATCCGAGCAGGTGAGCCTCTGAAACCAACGTCGACGTTGAGTAGGGGAGGTAGAATGAGAGAGAGAGTGAGAGAGAGAGAGAGAGCACGGGTCGCTTTTAGGGCTAACGACGCGACCGTAAAGCGAGAACGATGAAAATGGAGAGTAGAAACGAGCGTCTAAGCCTGGAATGCAGCATAAGTGCACGAGAAGGGAGCTCCTCTCTCTCTGTCTTCCTCTCGGTTTTCTCTTTCTCCCCATCATCGATGGCTTTAGGTTGGGTTACTACGAACCGAGGCAGAGGAGGAAACGTGGAGGATTTGACTTTGCAGTTGTGTGTCCGGGCAAAGCATCCTCCTTCTCGATGTGTTTAACTTGCAGGATACGATACGTTGGTAGGAGGAGGATAGAGCGATGAAGGGAGGAAGAGGAGAGTGGAGAAACCGCTTGTCTGGATGTAACAAGGACGAGAGGATGGGGTGGGAAGGAGATAGATAGAGGGCCAGTAAAAGTGACGAGGGTATGATGTTCGCTTTAATATCCACCAGCAGGTATATATTCTCACTTGCTCTTCTCTTCCTCTCTCTCTCTTCCTCGCGTCCGTTTTTCGGTTCTCTCGCTTCCCAGTTCGATCTTTCGATCTCTTTCGTCCGTATCCAGAGTGTCGATACCTACGACGCTCATGGGAAACTCTGGGACGTCTGTGTTCGAAAAATGGGAAGAGGAAGGGATGAGAAGAAGAAGAAGAAGAAGAAGAAGTAGAAGAAAAAAGAAAAGGAGGAGATAAATTTTCCGGGGTTCACGTCGAGATCGAATAGGTATATGGTTGGGTGAAGTCGAAAAGTCGAGGGGGTTTGTGCGGAGGGGATTGTCTGTCCTCTTTTCACGGATCAGATCCGATCCCAACATCGACGTTGCTGATGCGGGAAGGATGACGCGCGAAAATCTTCCACCCTCCAACGCCACAACCAACGGCTAACGAAATGAATTACGCGGCGGAAAACTCTTATTCGGCTCGAAATGCATCACCAATTTCATTTTATGGGAAAAGAGAGAGATTAGAAAATATTCAATCGAAAGTGTTAATTTTTCTGATTCTTTTCTCCCAAGCTTGAAAAAAAAATAGCTTGAAAAATTCGTCGATGCTGGATTTCGTTTCCTTCTGAAGAATTCTGATCTGTTGATTATGCTGCTACGTGAGCATCGGCTACGGTTAATCGATAAATTATCGCGCAATAATTTACGCGATAAACGATTGCGCGGGGAACGTAACGGACATTTTTACGCAATAAATTACGAAAATGAAAAAAAAGAAAAATTCCACAATTCGACGATTACGAAATGAACAATCGTGCGCGTGCGCGTGAGCAAAAAAAAGAAGAAGAAGAAAAAAGTCTCAAGCCCATAAACGTGATAAACGCAGCGCCAAGAAAACAGGAACAGACGGATAAATGGCGGCTGGTAGATCCTTGGCGTCGTCACGGCTCCTTTGTCGAGCGGCCATAAGCAATCGTGCAACGTTTCCAAGTCCTCGCATTAGGATTAGACACGCTGCACACCCGAAAAATCTGGATACCGAGCTCTCTTGTCCGTGTGTGTCGTCGTGATCCGGGGCTCGGGTGTTCCACGAGGCGTGGAACGAGGGCTGTGGGTCCTGCGGGATTACGTCGGTGCCGGTTTACCGCTTTTATTGTTTCTCGCAAGGAGAGGCTAGGCGGGCGACAGAGAGGGGGCGGGCCGGTGATCTTGTATCTCAGCTGGATCTACGCGCATTTTCACTTAGCGGGTTACACGATACACCGGATACCTCGTTGATGTACCTCGGCCAGGTTGGATCATTAGTACTACTCCAACTGTTGGAGGGAATCCGCAAGACTTCTTGACCCAATCGTCCTCTTTCTTTCTTTCTTTCTTTCTTTCTTTTTTTTTTTTATTTCTTTTTTTTTTTCTATGCTCGAGATCGTTCCGTCCAATGCGCGGGACTAGAATCGTAAAGGGGGAGGGAGAAAAGGCAGGGTCAACTGTACAAGAAACTGTCTTTTTTTTTCCTCGTTTCTTTTTTTTTTTTTTTGGCTTCGCCTCAAGGTCCTTGGGGAGTCCCTTCGCCGATGAAACAGTGCTCGATGAAGGATCTCGTGTAGCGAGGCGAGAGAAAGATATATGCGCATCTCTTGGTCGGATCTATGCAAATTATTCGCCAATAATGATTAATGTATTAATACGGAATGTTGCTCCAAGTTTCGAGATTGTTTCTTGAGAGAATGGCGGAGTTCAATTTCGATTAGAGAGGTTAATATTTCTTCTCGATTCCCTTCGTTTTTAAAACGTTCGTCTCCTCTTTTAGAGAAAATTTTCACTTCACAGGAGAGATTATTAAACGTAATTTAAACGTAACACTTCTGCCTGTTTCGTCTTATCGCACAGCGCGAAGATTAAAGCACCGTTGCACCGAAAAAAAAAAAAAAAAAAAAAACAAAAAGGAAAAGAATCGTTTTCAATATTAAGAATTTGATGGACTTTCCAGGAAAGGTCGAACGGAAGAGCCACGCTGCACGAGGGTCGCGATGATCTGCAATTAGTGAATCTGTGCGTGCCTCCGAGATCGACGATCGTCGTAAGTAAATTCAATTCGCGAGACTCGAATGCTTTCAACAAGCACCAAAAACTGAACTGTGAAAAACAGTTCTATTCGAAACAACGAAGCATAAATCTCGAGGAGGGAGGGGAAGTCGATTGCACACTCAAGAATCACTCTTTCGTATCGCTTTTTACCAAAACTTTTCTCTTCGCACTTCTTTTCAATCATCTTCGCTTCGTTTCCTCCGTTTGCACTTGGAGGGATGGGGGG